GTTGTGTGGCGCATATGTATTCGGTGCTCCTTTGTATCAATATTTATGTGTCCAAATAAATTAGATTAAAATCACGAATTGATGTCTCCTAGATAACCACTGAAGTTTCCTCTTAGTGAAGGGCTCTTCAGTAGTGCGCATATGCGGCATCGCTAGAGGCTAGATACAGATACGTCAAGTCTCTCGATGAGCGCTTAAAAGTCAGACCACTGAGTTAGTATACAATAGTTTGCATTTTCAACTTCAATTATAACAAAAATCCGCGACTAGTGGATTTCAACTATATCGAAGGTAAAATGAATGTCATTAAAGATAATGGTTATGGTCACTCAATATCGTGAATTGGTTGGTGGTTATGCAACGCCACAAGACCCATAGACCCTAGATTCGATCCCTGGTAGAGTAGTAGGTACGCATGGCAGAGGAGTCCTATACAAAAACGAAACACCTATTCAGTATCTCTAAGTTTTAAATTATCGTCTAAATAAAGTTAGCCCTTGATATTTACGTCCAAATTTTTGTTTATTCTCAACAGATATTAACTATGTGCAAAAGATGTTTTCTTGAATATTTGTAATAATGCTCCGTTTGCTGTATAGCGTTGGACAAGATTATTCTATAAATATTCGAATAGTATATCATATCTGAAATCTATGTATATATAACTCATATGATACATTGAAAATCATATGATTTCAAACCAATTTTCGTTATAGTAGTATTTCCTACTCAATCATATGTTTCCTCATATATATACATACATAGGTTAATGTAGATCAAGCCACATATATCGCTTTCATTAATGAAAATGTGATTTATTCGATTGAATATTGTTTTTCTTAGTATGCAATGTAGTTCCATTGTTTAAATATTCCATCAGTGACTAGCATACAGTTTATTTCGATTCTTGTTTCACAATCATGTATTTTACACAGATTAATAATGTATGGTAAACAGGTATGCTTATTTACTACTGTTATGACATGAAATTTCAAGAATTGTAATGAAAGACCGAATCACAATTCTTGGTAATGCCTTGGAATTAGTGAACCTTGTTCATAAGCTAACGTGAGCAGCTAAGTGGAAGATTAGGCTAATTATTCAATCCGTCTTAAAACCTGATTAACAGAATGAAGCATGTTGCATGGATAAGCGTGAAAGGCAGAACCGTTAAGCTTCATTAAGTCTGACGGGCGGGTCAGCGTATGACCATAAACTATGCCATTACCAGTATTCAGGGGTTGACACTAAATTTGCTTGTAGTATGAATGTGATAAAAGTATATCGTCAAATGATACTAGGATGAAACAGCTGTCCAGTGCCCTCTAATTTTCAATGAAAGTTTAGCTAAGATCAGTTTGTGATTTAAACTATAAAAATTGTGAATAAAAAACAGGTAATAACTCTTCAAATTAGAGATGATCCATTATTATCATAAATTTCTAAAATCAATACAGAATGAAAGCTTAGATCACACCATTTTCGAACTCACAAATTAGGTTTAAAATAATGAATTACCAACACTTCTATTGCTTGAATTTTTCTTATTTATATCCCTTTATTAAGCCAGGATTATTCAAGAATAGAATTACTAATCGTTCTATATTCACCTTTAGATAACCATTCTAAGTAATGCTTAGCAATGTGTTTGAAGATTGTACGTTGTTTGCAATAGATGTGCCCCCAAATGCCCTGGTACGGCCGAGAGTGGGGAGAGTCCGCTCTCCCTCTCGAAATGCTCTCACATGGCCACGCGTATATAGCCTCTGCCAGGGAAGTCCTACTCACTGCCTTCTCGTCACGGGGGTGTTGTTTACGAAAATGAGAGGACGAAAAGCGAATATCCGACGCTTTAACCGGATCCCAAACCAAACCAATGGTGCACATGGGCTCCAGTATTCTTCGGGAACAAATAGCGTATGAACCAATCGTTAGTCACCGCCTACCATGTGACTACATCTCCTGACGATGCATTACTGCCTTGTGGATCAGACCTTTAGGTCAAAGGTTCGGGGTGTAGCCCCCTAAGTAAACCACCTGCTTCGGTTTGGACACCCGGGCAGTATCACAGCCCTCACACATATCGAATGAGATTTGTGTGGCGCATATGTATTCGGTGCTTCCTTGTACCAATGCCTATGTGTTAAAATAAATAAATAAATAATTGCAACAGATGTAATTTGCTTGTCGAGAAATACTATGGTTGTGAGGCGTCTGAATTTGTGTCTATGTTCTAGGACCTGACATAGTATGAATATCTGGTCGACTGAACTCTTCTTGTTCCTTTATTTTTGTCCCTTTCCAAATTTATTTCACTGCATTATACTCATTGAATAACATCTTCAAACCCTAATGTTTCCGATTACTGTTCATACTTTGACTACATCTACCACTATGGGATTTGAATGGACATTTGTATCTGTGTGATAATGTGGTATTACAACTTGAACTGATGTATGTAAGTACGGGGTTCTACGTTGTTGTTTGACTGATAGCAAGTAAACTGATAAGTAGAATCAGTTTAAAACGGTAACTTATCCTTAACATATGTTCAAATCAATTTTTAAGTAGTATCTCATTCTAGATTTATGCATGCTCATTAACTATGCATGTATACATACATAATTGTGTAGAACTATAATAATCAACATTATTGAAATGCTAAAATATTTTTATGAATCATCAAAATGAAGATTATGCGAAACACTAAAGGTCAAGGATACAATGTCATTGTACATAATAATGATGTGATTATTTTATTAGATCGATGATAGTTATTGCAAATAAGAACATGACTTGATTAAGGGTTATACATAGTAATAATAAGAAGAATAAGAATACGTGGAAATGGTAAATAGATTGGTATAAGTTGTTCGAATTCAGTGAATTCATTTAGTCATAAGCAATGTAGAACCTTATACATACCTGCACCAATTCTATGCCAAATCATTGCAGCAAGATGAAATTGTCAAGACAAATAGCAGAGCTGTAGGATTAGTAGAAAATATCAGGTATGAACAATATGATTAGAAAAGAATGGGTGAATTCATGGAACAAGAAGTGTAAAATAATTTCAAAGCTCAAGATCTAAGGAGTATATAAAGAATAAGTGAATCCATGCTACTGCTATTAATTTTGAGCCATGTCACGCAACTTTTCCAACCTCTGATTGTTATTATCACGAGATTATCAATCACGGTAGTCTGCATTTGTAAAAATTGTTAAAACCAACAGTTAACGACTACATAGACTAGTCCCTTGTTTTGATCCTTGTTATCTTTCGTCGAAGTTACTCCTATTCCAGCCTTCATTGCACGTTGAGGTAATTAATGGCTTAGGGTATGTAACACACGTCTCAACCACTTCATTCGAAAAAGATTCGCTACTCCATTAACCAATTTATTATCTTGTTTCTAACTTCACTGCTGCTCACTCATTAGTTCCAGTATATGCGAGCAATGCTTTCAAAAGATCTGTGATCGAATACTTGTAACTTACAAATATTCTTTATTTTTAAAGTTCCACACTCAGAGTAGTGCAAAGCATATTGCTACACCGTACACTCGTCCTTGGGTTGACAGACGGACAACACCTATGCCACAAGTGATCAAATCATTGGCTATTTGTCTAAATCGTGTAGTTGAATCCTAACTTCCTAGTTAGGAACAAATTTTTGTTGACTTGGCTTAAAAATAGATGCATTCATCATTCTTACTCTTTTCCTTAATCTTGAATCTTTAGAGTAACTGTACACTTTTATTACGTGAATTAATCCCTTTACTTAAAAATAGGTTCTTCGTAGTTTGCATATGGGATTGGTTTCAGTTAAACAACCAATGAAAGCCAGAAATAATTAGACAAGTTTTTCATCTTAATATGTTACTCACAGCAGTGTACATTCGCTACCCCAGTGGGAATGTTTGCACTTGTCTACTATCATTGATATTACGATTGGTTCGAACCCATCTTGTCATTCGTTTTAATTTTACTTCGAATTCGCCTACTATGATAATCCGCTCGTTACTGTAGACTACAATGTTTCACCAGGCAAGTTAATTGGAGAGCTGTAAGACCACCGACTGTGTTGGGTTGTGACAGCAGTAAGGTGTTTACCTCAAACAACCAGGATATGCAACGATGTTGCCTTCGCATAACAGGAGAAGGGAATTATGAAAGGTCAGCCCTGAAAGTAATACACCTCGCCTGACAGATTTCTATTGTTAACAGTAAGATCTAAAATGTACAGAACCAATTACAAGTAGCTGTGTGACTGATTTCATTTAGTTTCCTCCTGGTCTTCACTGTTAAGATCACCCTTAACCCAGTTTCATTTTCAAGTCCCTCAACTAGAAGTATCGTTCGACAGTGTGGTTAAATGGACAGCGACAACCGCTCACAAACACTTAACTCCATTCGGGACCACCTTGTTCATAATCAAAACTCTTCTGAAACAGTCAATGTACAGCTTGACATCTCAAAATATACAGCGTATATATATTGGTAGTTTATGTTTCATCCATCAGAAAACAAAGTTCTTAGCCAATTACATGCACTTATCAGTTGGCGATTTCTTATTGGCCCACTTTATCTCACATGTATAGTGTATTATCAGTAATTCAGATCATGAGTCATTTGAAGCTAGACCAACAGAGAAAAACTGGAAGCACTGGATGGCCGTTTCTTCCTATTGTGGGGATCCTCAACAGTGAGCATCCACGATCCCGCCTCTCGAGATTCAAACCCAGGACCTATTAGTCTCGCGCGCGAGCGCCTAACTTCTAGATCACTGAACCGGCATCCAGCGATGTTAATGTCTAACTTTAACCGGAATAGGAGGAAATGGACGTCCAGTGCTTCCAAGTTTTCCATGGTGATCTAGTTTCAATTGACTCATTATCTCAACTATCGAAATTACTATAATATCTACAAAAAACCCTTCTGATATAATGTATTAGTTTATATAAATAATTCATTCCTTTTCTTTTTTTCAAAAAAATTAGTCCGAGAATATAGTTTCACAATCAACAAATGGAGTGCAATCAATTCATTCGAAGAAAAATCCTACTCTACGTAAACGTTCCATTCGTAAGATAACAACAACAACAACACTATCATCAACTGCAAAATCATTTTCACCCTCACCATCTTCAACAAAATTACCAGATAAATCCTCTTCCTTTTCTTCATCTGTAAATTCCTTTAATTCTACTGAATGTTGTCAAAAATTAGATGATATTTTAAAAGATGACCAAAATGAATGTGTTCATGGTAAGTATATAGGTATTCTTTATTCATTTGTATGAAATTGAGTTTTTATTGTTTAAGTTTTATATATCTTCTGTTCAGTTTATGAGTTCTGGTTAACAGAGTTTGCTTATTTGTTTAAAGTATCAAGTTCTGGTACAACAGAGTACTAAAAGAATATCTAATTCCTATGAAAGACCAACCGTTACCCTAATCATTATTTAACTGGTTGTGTCCCACACCATGACATAGGTTTAAATATTGATAAGGAACTAATGTTCTTTTTGGAGATTGCAAGTACATCTTGCTAATGAGTACTAATCACCATGTAGAGTAAGTCTAGTGGGTTTTCTTGTTTAAGATCTTCAACCACCTAACGTTATGTTTTCTCCTCAATTTCCTCCCTCTATATATGTGAAATAAGCATGCGTACGTAATGTTTAACTTTCCATAAAAGGGAGTTATGCAAATTTACAATAAAAAAACACATTTTTTTGACAGTTAAATTCACAAGTCGATCCAATCTAGATGACTATTGAAAGCCTGGAAGCACTGAACAATCGTTTTGTTCTAGTACGGAACTTTTCACATAGGACTCAAACCGCAAGGCCTTTGATCTTGCTCATGAACGCGCACTTCTGAAGAGTCCCATACTAGGACAAAACGGTCATTCAATGTTTCTAGATTTTTAATGGTAGTCTAGTTTAAATTGACTTATGAATTCAACTATTAAAATACTAAATATCCCCATACTGATCATTTATTTTTATTTTGTTAAAATTATTCATGGATACTACAAACAAATCATACATAGATAATTGTTGGTTTTAACACGTTCAATCAATCAGAAATCAACCATATGATAAGTGTACACTATTGGCCTCAAAATGACTTATATATTCTAGGTATGAGGCATACATAGTTAATGGCTTAATTTTCTAACACCGTTGGATGCTGGCTCAGTGGTCTAGTGGTTAAGTGCTCGCGCGCGAAACCAGTAGGCCCTGGGTTTGAATCTCGCAGGGGGCGAGGTCTTGGGTGCTCACTGCTGAGGAGTCCCACAATAGGACGAGTCGGCCGTCCAGTGCTTCCAGGTTTTCCATGATGATCTATCATCAGTCGGTTCAAGATCTCAATCAATCAATCAATGTATATATATATACATATATATATATATATATATATATATATATATATATATATATATATATATATATATATAATTCATTTAGTGACAATCTGTACTAAATATACATATACCTATAAAGTTTAGTCAAGAATTCAGGATTAAATATCAATAATGCTATAATTGTTGACCTTACTATTACCAATATGATTATTTGTAGTTTATGTAATGTTCAATGATACATGTTTGTACGTATGTTTTGAAAATATTGCGTTATCTCATTTTTTTCAGATACTAATTTATGTTCGGTTAAACAAAAACCAGTTGCTAATGAACTGATGATGACGAATAAGAGCATTGTTTCGAAAGACAAAGACATTATCACTTCTACGATTCATGAAGTAGTGAAGACATCCAATAGTAGTGGTAGCAGTACCATTGCTAAATCATTGAAAACAAAGAAATCAAATCCTATACATCATGAGTCGTTATCATCACTGACGTCTTCGTCTACTGTTCCTGAACCACTGAATAACTCACGTATATCTACTCCTGTTCTTGATACATTTGTTACACCACAAGCATTAGATACTACCGGGAATGATGATGGTGAGTGGTTATGTGCAAATATGAAAACAGTTAGACGTCGTCGACGCAATAATAATAATAACAAAGACATTAAACATTTGATGAGTGCAGATAATAATGATAATGTTCATGTTGATGACACCAAATTAGGAAGACACGTTCTACAACAGCAACCAATTGAGTTATCATCCTTAATAGTCGCAGAAGAAAATATTCAAAATAAGTCCAACTCTACACATGACATTGGTAGCAGTGATCAACAGTATTTAATAACTGGTCAAGATGCCATTAATTCTAAAACTAATAAAAATTTGGAACCTGATTCTAGTCATCAATCTGTAGTGGAATGTTGCAAAAATACATCTTCAATGATAGTAAGTTGTTTACATTACATGAAATAAAATTTCAAACGAATTCTATATTTGTTACATTCACTATCATCCCCAAATGCCCTAGAACGGCCGAAAGGAATGAGAATCAGCTCTCCCTCTCTAAATGCTTTCACATGGCCACGTGTATACAGCCACTGTTAGGGAAGTCCTACTCATTGCGTCCTCGTAGTGGGGATGTTGTTTACGAAATTGAGGGGATTAAAAGAAATTGTCCGGCTCTTTAACCGGGTTGATGGATACGAAGAGTCCGCATAGAGGAGTTGGAAAACCCTGATTCTAAACCAATGGTGCACATGGACTTCAGAATCCTGAGAGAACAAGTGGTGTATGAACCAATTATTGGTCACCAGCTACCATGTGACTGCATCGCCTGACGTTACTCCACTCCCTTATTGATCAGACCTTTAGGTTGAAGGCTCCGAGTATGGCCCCCTAAGAAAACCATGTGGTTCGTTTTGGGCACCCGGGCAGTATCATAGGCTACACGGAAATCAAGTGACTTGTGTGGCGCATATGTATCCGGTTCCCCTTTGTATCAATATTTAAATAAATATCAAAACATAAAGTCATTAACTGTGTTAGGAAGTAGTAACCAATGTGTTATGTCTTTTTTGTGTGTGAATTTCATTTCGTATTGATAAAATTCTATCGATTTAGTTTCTCACATGACAACACTTTTGTCTAAATGACTTTGGTATTAAAATGTACTTCTATATGTTTGAATATTAATCAATGTGTGTTCATAGTGAATCGACAACATAAATCTTGTTTAACTTAAATTTCTTTCTTGTAGACATTTGTTAGTAAGGAGTTTCTGTGAAACTGTAGAGAATTGATGATATCTCATTTTGTTTAAGACTTATCTCACTTACCTACCTACTCATTATTGACTTTAATGTTACTTTTGATAGGAAGTACTTTTTTTCTTCTTCTTTTCTTCGAATTATCAATTGATACCAATCGTTAAAACAAACAAATGGAATCGGGTTACTTTATACTCTTAATTTGCTTAATAGTACTATTTATAATATATTGATCCATTTTGTACTATCCTCCTTATCCATGAAACACGTGCTCCTTACTAACCTACATAGGGTTTACTATTTTCATGTGATAGATACAATTTAAATAAGGTTATCAACCTTCTATATATGTTTGTGTTTATGAAGAAGTGTCATTCACTTTAGTAGCTAGTCAGTTAATACACTAATTTCTATGTGATTTTTTTCTTTCTTCAATTTCAAAACTTAACACAGCACAATATGGATTCAGTTACTATGACAAAATACGAATCTGTTTGGCTTATCGGTTAACCCATTAACTAGCATTATTAATATTAGGATATGGGACAATTGCTTCAAGTTTATACACCATGAAAATAGTTGACAATGGAGGAGACTAAACATAAAGCGTGTGGGGTTTTAAAAGAAAAAAATAGTAATCTGTCGTATAAGAAAACAGTATAAAACTAATCTTAAAACTCTTAATCTAGAGGTAGACAAAGAGTGAATGAATCTGTCTCATTATGACCGATTTTAAGCTATAGGCTCTTTAGCCTTTTATGACGATCATTACTCCAAGCTTGATTAGATAGTCTACACTTATATCAACATAGTCCAGATAAAAAGTTAATCATATGATGAACCGACAATATGTCTTGGTTTGGTCACTCCTAGTCTTCTTCTTCTTCCAATCTACTACTATGCTACCGAAGTGAAAGTCAATCATACGTAAAGTAAAACTTTGCACATATCAAGACAAATCCTAGCATAGTATAAATAATATCAGTATCCATGTTGGTGAAAAAAACTACACATAGACGATACGACGAAGAATGGATTAGTGGAATAAACTAATTTTAGAACTCAAAATCGAATGAAAGACAATTGATCTTTACACCCATCAACATACCATAATTCAACAGTCATTCACTCGATGGACTAATACTATTTCTTGGTTTGGTCGCCCCTAGCTTTCTTTATATCTACATCAGCAAATATCATTCATCGAGGTAGACAGTGGTTGACTATATCGTGATAGCCTGTGATCATCTCCTTCATCATGTTAAAAGACATAGTGTAAATGATGATGCTAGTAGGTTTCTCCATGAATGCTTATTGGCTTAAGTTTTTTTAAATATTTTACTATCTCTTTGCGTAAATAAGGGAATGAAATCAACAATATGTATGAAGTATGGAACTTCATAATACTAAATAACTATAGACTGTATAAATACTTTGTGTTTTCTGTTTGGCACTAACAGTGACATTAAAACATGCACATACATACACATCGTCACTAATCATCATACTTAGAGTATAAATTCGAAACCAATCACATGAATTTGTACCTAGTGAATGAGTTAATTGAGCTGCGCTAGTTGACGTGGGTACAGTTTGTACGGATAAGATCAATCCTCTAAAGATTTCATTGACACTTTGTTGTTGAAACAACTGTTTGAGAACCTTATGTTTTTTGTTGATTTCTGTCGTTGGGTTTAATATTACATTTATAAATACATCGAAGAAATCTTTCTAGATATCAATACTTGTTGGAGATGTTAGATCTCTAGAACTCACTTGGTAAATGCCTTATTTTTGTAATTCTGTTTTAAAAAGTTGAATTTCTTGTTAACACGCCCAAAAACACCCATTTTCACCTTCATGTCGTATTTCACACTTGGGAGGAATTTAAATACTATTGGTTCGTTATTTCTTTTAGTATGTTATTTTGTACCGTTTCCCAATGATATTTTTATGCTGTATATATATACTTGCGTTGTACTTATTGTTGTTGTTCGTGTTTCTGACTGTTTGTGGAATAGATTTCCCTCTTTCAAACTTGAACTTCTCTTTTTATTTCATGGGACTGGAATGCGTCACAGAGTTTACTTTCCATTCTCAGATTAAGTGAACTCGTAATCTCTTCAAGCATAGCAACACGAAGGTTAAATTTGATAGTTTCAAATGAATTAAGCATTGGATAGATAGTTAATAATCAATATATATATTTGTTATATCCCAAAAAGTAGAAAAATTATATTTTTGGTGTTTCGTAACTTGTTGTAAAACACTTCTTCAGAGTAAATAAATAATCGAAATCTTTTGTTTATTTTTTCATAAATTAGTATTATATATATATATATATATATATATATATATATATATACGAAAATGAGAGCACGAAAAGCGAATGTCCGACGCTTTAACCGGATCCCAAACCAAACCAGTGGTGCACATGGGCTCCAGTATTCTTCGGGAACAACTGGCGTATGAACCAATCGTTAGTCACTCCCTACCATGGGATTGCATCTCCTTACGATGCTCCACTGCCTTGTGGATCAAACTTTAAGGCCAAAGGCTCGGGTTGTGGCTCCCTAAGAATTAAATGACAATACTTACGAAAGTTCAGAGACGAATAAAATAAGTTATGTTATAATTTTAGAGGTAATAAAGGATTTACATAAGATTCATGGAATTGAAATACTGATAAGATGAGTTACGTAATACATGAATGGAATTTGAAGAGTTCACATAATTTAAGAGAATCAAATGAGTGGAAATGTATGAATGAAGAGGATAGTTTGAGAATTCCATGATAGAAGAGAAATATAACAAACCAAGTCAGATATTTGTTGTTAAATCAATGATATATATTTTTTAAGCCAGTCACTAGTGAGCATATGTTGATTAATAACAGAAGGGGTTTTGTGGAGATTGTAGTAATTTAAACAGTTGAGATCATGAGTCAGTTGAAACTAGACCACCATTGAAAACCTGGAAGCACTGGTCCAATTGGTTAAGCGCCCAGCGCGAGACTGATAGGTCCTGGGTTCAATCCCGCGAGACTAGCTTCAAGATATATATTCTGGAGCTCTAGTGAGGAGCAGTGACTATTGGAGTTCAACCGGGTCAGTTGTGATATAGTAACTCACTGATGACAATGGTGGATGTATCGTTTAATTTCGTGGATTAGTTGAAGTTGGACATTAACACCGTTGAATGCCGGCTCAGTGGTCTAATTGTTTAACCGCCTGGCGCGAGACTGATAGGTCCTGGGTTCGAATCCCGCGAGGCGGGGTCGTGGATGCGAACTGCTGAGGAGTCCCACAACAGAACGAAACGGCCGTTCAGTGCTTCCAGGTTTTTCATGGTTGTCTAGTTTCAGCTGACTCATAATCTCAACTGTTTAAATTACTACAATCTCCGCAAAACTCCTTTTGATGATATATTTCTCATGTTTTTAAATTTATTTTTTAGGAAAATGTCAATTCTTCATTGAAGAAACGTTCATTAATGGATCAATCTGTTTCTAGCACTACTGCTAATACTACTGCTACTACTACTACTACTAGTAGTAATGATGCTTCTCTTGGTGTTCTTCATTCTAATCCTGCTATTACATCAAAACGTAAACGTCGTAATATTCAACGTAAAAAATCTACTGATGAAATTATTATTAATAATGAAAATATAGAATCATATAGTATATTATGTAATGAAAATCAATTTGATGATAATAATTCAATGTTATCAGGTACTACAACAACAACTACTACTCCTATCAATTCATCAATAAAACGAAATTTAGATAAACAAAATGACGATGATGAAAGTGGTTTTGAATTAATTGAACTTTCAAATACATCATCAACAGTGTCGTCAGCTGTTGAATCTGATGAATTAGAAATGCACTCATCATTAATAACTACTACTACCACTACTGCTGAAACGTCATTATTACCTCAAGCATCAATATCACCACCTGATCTGTTATCACATTTTCCACCATTAATTAAAGCAGATAATGGTGATCCAATTTCTGTTACAATGGAAGTAGAACTCCTTGAAAGTGGAAGACATCCACAAGCGAATAAATTACTAAAATTAGCCTTAAGTAGTAATAACAATAATAATAGTAATAGTCAAACTAGTAATCAACAGGAACAGTTAACTGATGATGTTGTCGGTGGAACTTGTACTATTAGTAGTAGTAGTAGTAGTAGTAGTAGTAATATTAATAATAATAGTAATAAAAATGCTACGAAGCGTTCAAAAGCGAGAAAAGCTGATTAAATGATAAGAATATGATTTTCATGTACTATTCAACTACTCTTTTCTCCCTCCCTCTCTCTCTCTTTCTTTCTACCGATATATGTCTTTATTCTCTCTTTCTCTTGTTTTCTTTTCTCATTTCATCTATAAACTTTTGTCAGATTATATTTATTGGTTTCTTACATTACCTCCTATCATTATATTATCCAATTGAATAAGAACAATCTATTTGTCACTGATCATCATTATGCTGATTATGTTTAATAATTTTTATTGTTGGGATAAAATGTCCGTTTATTTTCATTTTTTTTTGTTTCCCCTTCTCCCTCCCTCTCTCTTTGAAGCAAATAATAGTAAAGAAGAACTAGGGATGAAGTAACTCATCCTATTTTCTCAGTTTTACTCCCCTATTTTTCTCTTTTTATTCTTTGAGTTTTTGTGTTTATGTTTTTCCACGTCTATTCTTCCTGAATATATTGTGTGTAAACATGTTTTTGTAAAAAAAAAGAAAGAAAATCAACAATAGACGGATACTCTTTATCATTATTTCTTTTCTAGTATAGATTGTGTCATATTCGATGGTCTATGTTGTTTCCACTTTTTTTAAAACTATTATATTTCAGAAATATTGTCGTTGTTGATGATATGAGTCTATATGTGTATGTGATATTTTGGAATCTCCCCTTTCCAGTGTGTTTATCGCTGCTTGTTTCAACATACTTTTTTTTGATGATCCTGATGATAATTTGTAGAGATCTCTGTTTATTTTCTTCTCAGTGTTTCTTTTGTTGTTGTTGTTGTCTTATTGATTGTTTTTCCATTGTTCATTTATGACTTTTTTTCTTTCCTTTATATTAAACATTGAAACTTTACAGCAATATCGCATTCTTATTTTATCACCACTAAATTGTTTGTTCTATTGGCCTCATATTTTTTTTTAGCGCCAAATAATACTGTGATATTTAAATAATTAATATACATCTTATTACATTCTATTTCGGGATAAACAAATAATGTTCACTATTTTTTAATTGGTTAACCGAATGTGTGTCAAGGTCAAGTGGACAAGGGCGCATATTTTTATTACTCTTTTTTGATTGGTTAACTGATTGTATGCATTATTTTATATGTCTGTTAATTTGTCCACGATATACTTCCCAAGGTCAAACATGATTTTTTTAATGCATTTTGCTGGTTTCTTATTGGTTGGTTAATCTTTTATAAAATATGTATGTTAATAGTGCAAACAGTTTAATTATTTATTTTTAAGGTTTATAGTCTTCTTCATACTTCCCCAATTGATGTATGTGATTGAGTAGAGAGAACAATTGGGAGATTTGATTTGTTTATGGAGTACACAATTGTGTGGACACAAAAAGAGTAATAATAATGGTGGGGGTGTTGGTGTTGTTGTTGTCATGCATTGAATATTATATCAAAGAGAGAGTAACAAACAAACTTTATGCCCCTAATAATTAGTCAAACAGCTTCTATAGTCATTTGTGAAAAACAATTAATATTATTTATTTAATTATTTGACTTAATTAACTTATTGTTTATGTCTATATATTACAATATTGCAATGATTATCCCTTTCTCTCTCCCTCCCCCGATAACTTTGATCGGCCTAATTTTCTGCAATTTGTTTCTTTTGTTGTCTCAGTTTATTGATTAATTAGTTATTTTTATTAAGAAAAAAATATATAAATTGATCGATTGATTTGTTTATTTATTTGTTTGTTTTTGTTTATTTTGTTCATGTGTGTGTGCGTGTGTGTTTACGTCTGTGCATTTGAAGTGGGATAATTATTATTCATAATAATAATAATAATAATAAAAAGATTCTTATTTTTGTGTTTTTCCTTTTCTTTACATCAGTTGTCTTAGAACTTATTGAATGAATGGGAAAGTATGTAAAGAAATTAGTCAGTTTTGTTGTTTTTGTTGAGTATCCGTTAGTAACAACATAGAACTTCGTACGTACATACATCTAGTTACTATACCACATTCAGTATTAAATATTCCTGAAAAACTTGTATTGATGTGTGCAGATGACTCGTCGAATTCGGGCTGCCGCTTGCTCGGCATCAGTTAGTTACCCGGAAGTCTACTTATTCCTGTAAATGGACACTTCTGCAAATCAGATAAAAATCAAGATATGAATTTGTGTTGTCGGTGGTTTAGATGATTGAAGACGCCCTTATAGAACTTTATTTATACATCACAGGATCTAGAACGTATCAGTCAGAACTTCGTACGTACATACATCAGTTCGAGTTGCCATATCAAATTACCACACAGATACAATTGTCCATTCAAATCCCATAGTGGTAGATATAGTCAAAGTATAAGCAGTAATCGGAAACATTAGGGTCTGAAGATGTTATTCAATGAGTATAATCCAGTGAAATAAATTTGGAAAGAGACAAAAAGAAAGGGACATGAAGGATTCAGAAGATCAGAATTTATGAGTGTTATATCTGTGACGGCAGCAGATTTGAGGGTAGCGAAATATCGATCGGACCAAAGACGCGCAGACACGTAGAACGACCTAGGGTTCTGATTGGTCCCACTTCCCTATCTAGCCCAGCAGTTGAGTCCAGAACGCAAGTCACAGCCTCGGATATATGAATCATTATATTTCAAACATACGCTGTTTATATACCAATCAAGCAGACCACATCGTACGATAAAATAGAAAATAACATTCTACAATATTAACCAGTAGGAAAATGCCACGTTAAATAAATATTGACCAGTAAGGTGATACCACTTCATGTTCAAGGATAGCACTAGGCTTAACAGGATAAGTTTTGGGATATTTTCCTGAATATCCCAACAATGAGAACACAAAGAGTGGATGCACCTGCACTATTGCAAACAATTTTGAGCCATATCATTCATGGTCTCTAACCATCGGTTGCTATCATCTCGTAGATCTCAACCAGGTAGTCTACACCTACCAACATGGTTCAGCCCACTTGTCAGTGACTTCATGGATTTGTGCCATGTCTCGGTTTGGTCGCTCCTACCTTTCTTCCAACCTACTCCTACACCATAAAACATCGTACGTCGAAGCAGTCGGTGGTTGGGCATACGTAACACATGTCCCAGTCATTTCAACTGATGAAGTTGTTGAGTATATCAGTTTCTAAATAGTAGCTATCTCATATTAATAACCTGGTGAGATTATGGTTTACGAATGACTTTTCAGTGACTTTAAATTGACCTTGAGAGTGATCACTTAATAACTAAAACCAAATGCGGGTAATAAACCAGTGTGAGCAATTAGAATTATGATTTACAATTGATGAGATTTAAGTTTTTTCATCATAAACTGGCATTAGCTATAATGCCAAGACTCTATTTAACCAAATGAATGAGTGAATATCGTGTCAAAATTTGAGACTTGTTGTTTATATGCATGATTGGTTCGTCCATAAATTATAATCTCACTAATAACATTTATACACACATACAATCAGTATGCTTCAAATTTGAGCAAATAAGTTTATATAATCAGAAAGTGGTTTTGTGGATATTATAGTAATTTATTAGTTGAATTTATGAGTCAGTTGATTGGTTGAAGTTAAACATTAACATTGTTGGATACCGGCTCATTGATTCCCATTCCTGATGAATCCGTACATGAGACTGATAGATCCTGAGTTTGTATCTTGCGAAGATGGGATCGTAAATGCGCATCGCTGAGAAGTCTCATACTAGAATGAAACGGCCATCTAATGCTTCCAGGTTTCCCATAATGATCTAGCTTCAATTAACTCATGAATTCAACTATAAAAATTACTAATAATATCCACAAAACCCCTCTTTAATTATAATTATAATCGTTTAGTTAAAAGTTTTCATCCAACCTATCAAAGATCATTATTATCTTACCATTAAATGACATAATATTGAGTAATGGGAAAAAGAGAGATATCAGCTTACTGAAGACAATGGTATATGGTGGCGCAACTTCGTGGATTGGTTGAAGTTAGACATTAACACCGTTGGATGCCGGCTCAGTCGTCTAATGGTTAAGTGCTCGCACGCGAAGCCAGTAGGTCCTGGGTTCGTGCCTCGCGTGGTGCGGGATCGTGGATGCGCACTGCTGAGGAGTCCCATACTAGGACGAAACGGCCGTCCAGGTTTTCAATGGTGGTCTAGCTTCAACTGACTCATGATTTAAATCTGTGGAAATTTCTAAAATCTCCACAAACCCCTTCTGATTAATAATAATCAAAGTAATTATTCAAAAATCAAAATAGTTGCTACATTGCATAATATATCTGAAAAAAGAAAATGAATATTCAATAGTATAATAGTAATGTATGAATCAACAAACAAATGTTGATAATAAATAAAATACGATAGTGGTTTATCAAAGTTTTGCTACAGATTTAGATTGATTAAATCTTTTATATGTTCATAATAATAATATATGCCAATGTTACTTTAAGTAGACCATGGATCGTAGATCTGACTCCTATTTAGATCATATGGATGTTTCTAAGTGATGTATGATTTAAGAATGGAACTACCATGAGTCCCCCCTCCCTCTTCAAGTGGAGCTATTTACTTGGGATGTATTTAAATGGTCTTATTCTTGCATTTACATACACATGTACTGATATGGCTGAAGGTGGGGAGAGTCAGCTCTCCTTCATGAAATGCTTTTAGTATGGGTACGTCATTTTGTCGTCGTTTTGATCGAACGATATTTTCGAAAGGGCTCTCCACTTTAGTTCGATCATCGACTTAAATCGCGTTAGCCAATAACGTAATTAAATAAGTCAAATAACGAGAATGGAATTTTGAATACATATATTTCGTAAGTAAAGTGAATGTGATAGAACAGAGCAAAATGACGCCCAGCGAAGATCGCTGGGAAGCCAACTCCATTTCAAGCCAGGCATTACTCAATATTTATAGGCAGACAAAATAAACAACAAACATGTGATAAGTCATGGGACATGAGGTGTACACACATATACGCTCATATAAAAACAATCAAGACTGCCAAGCGAATAATTGACAAGGTCAAAATATGGTTCAAGTAAAATGAATTAAAATAGGATGTCCGAAAGTTAGAATCAGTTATATGGGCTTGCCATAGTAACTGACACTACATACTACATCTGAGAATCTATTTTTATGAATAGAAAGATAACTGGTGACAGAATGGAATTACTATATAAGATTATCATTTTAATTGACTGGAACCAAAAAAGGAAATAATTATATCATTACTGATATTATAGTGTCATTCACACAGAATTGATTTTAAGACTGAATTACCACTTAAAACACAACCAAACTACATTGAAATAAAGTAGTATTGTTATGTGATACACAATAATAGATGATTAGATATGTTAGGAATAAACAATAGACTGTGGACTAGAATAATAGATCCAGTCAGTCAGTCAGCTACAACGTAGGACCAGGCACATATTCGCATCCGTCCAGGTTGCCATACCTCATTAGCACAGTAAGATGAACACCGGATTCATAAAAGTAGTTAATTCAGTTGTGGTAATATATAAAATAAAGATTGCGATAAGGACATAGTATAGGAAGAAAGAATTAGTTCGTAGAAAGAAATATATGAAGTGATTTTAATCTCTTAGTTTAAGGGAAGACAGAGAGTATATACACCGACGCCATTGTGATCGATTCTGAGCCATGTCACCAAGAATCTCAAACCATTGGTTACGAAAGTCACGCGGACCCCAACCAAGTAGTCTGCATTTACCAACATGGCTCAGACCAGAAGTTAGTGACTTCAAGCATTGATGCCACGTATTGATTTGGCCGCCCCTAACTTTCTTCCAACCATCTCCGACACCGGTTAGCATTGCACGTCACGGGAATCAGTGTTCAGGCATACGTAACACGTTGCCCAACCATCTCAGTCGATGAAGATTAACAACCTCATCAACTAATTTACCATCATTCCCTAATATCCTGCGTCTAACCTCACTATTACTTACCCGGTGATCCCAACCCTTCCACGATGTGGGCAAGCGTGAAGTGATAACCGCCCTCATACCTCTAACAACACTCAAAACCACTGTATTCATAATCAATCTCCCTCTTCAATTCCTATTATTCCTCCTACATCGACTTTCAACTCTAAATTTCCTCTCTCAGCTTCCCCTTGAAGTGTCACTATAGCCAACGATTCTAGTGCTCAAAACACTGTCCAATAAATCCCACGATACATTTGATTCATTTATTCAACTCAAACTGGAGATTTATAAACAAATCAAGACAACAGAATATTACTATGTAATGTTAAGTTGTCAACCAGCTAACTTGAAGCACAAAACATGAAATCAATTTTATATATAAGGTAGACCTTTATTCTTGGTTCAGTTGGATATCTCTACATTTGCACCTAAGCCAAACATCGATTAAATTGTCTCATCTATCACAGTTTATTAACCAGAACTCTCATATAAGTACATAATTAATTATTAGTGTTTCTTTTACAGAAATACTCATAGACAGGAAACAGTGGATCATTGTCAAGTGTAGAAATATATATAGATATTCTTTTATTGTAAGCATGCGAATTTTCTTAATTTTGTAAACAAAACCATCATTTATTGATTTCTTATTAAACTGTTTATTTTCATTTGAATGGCGGTACTATAATTTGTGGATGAGCTAATCAGTGGTGTTTGAGGGTCCATATTAATTTTGTATGGTTATAGGAGTTCAATAAGAAACCTTAGATACAGGATTTGTTCTGTTCACAAATAATCAGCAAGACATATTTGAACTGCTTCAAAAACGTAAAGTAGTGGCTCACATGCATTCAAACTTTCTCAATACGTTCA